GCCCATCTGCCACAGCACTACTAACCCTGTAAACAAAATCCTGAGCTGTCATTCACAACGAGCCCACGTCCTTTTTTTTTTTTGATCCTCGCTGGCTACCACTCAGCACAGGTGACGGCAGAATCCACCAGCAAAATAAACACTAAGTGAAGAAGAGACTGTCGCTCACACAGGAGACGTCTGTCTCTCGTCCTGTCGGTGAGAGTCGAGGTAAACATCACTCAGGCTGCTGCTGCTGGAGACTGTTGTTTTTTATTATAAGAATCGCCAACCTTAGGATCAAATATTGATCCGCACATGATGGATCACTGGAGTATGAATCTGAGCACATGCAGCAGCATTTAAAGGTTAATGACTTCTGACCTTATTTCTAACCCTGTTCATATCTCCATCCTGATTCTCACTCAGCACCATCTGACCTCTGATCAGTATCAAATCAACACAGTCTCAACTAAGCACTTCTTCACATCCGCTGGGTAAAGTGCTAATAACGCCGTAGTGTGTTTTTGCCACAGCGACAAAAAGTGGCATCCTGTAATAACCATTAACGTATCACATACTCTAATGCCTATATAATCATAACAGCAGCAGTAAAACGTCCCATTTACAAACACTAGATAATCACAAAAGATTTGCAGATATGTAAACCATGAAGACTGACATGTTCTGCAAACTGCTTACATTTCACAAAATAACATAGAATTAGATGAATTTGATTGTTATGTTAAAAGGAGTATTTGTTGCCGTACAGTATTTATTTTAATGCTGCTCCATCTGGATCCACAGCAAAATTGAACAGGTTCTTAAATGACCCATCCTTCCACTAAGTTCCATAGCAATCCATCCAGTAAATGGTACATTCAAGTACCTGTAGGAAACTACAGCAACCAAGAATGCAAGGTCAATAAAACCTTTGAGAGGTGGCTGATGACAAATAACTGATCCCCTCTTTTGAAATGAGATTTGAATAAGAGGAAACTCTAGGAAATTTGATTGTAGGAAAATTCTTGTGGCATCGATCCCATCATCTTAGAAAGAACCAGTGGAAATGTAATCGTTGGGCGAATCTGATTGATTTGATGATCTCATATAATTTTGTTGCCCAAAATCCAAGCCACTCATTTTCTCTGTAGTCAGGAAACATGATTTGACCGTCGTGCCTTAACTACGTTCAGTGTGAAAATAAAGAGATCAGGGGTCATGTCAACCACACTGTATTGATCTCATGCTCGGTGCAAACCTGCAGTCTGACTGTTCTATTTATATGCACACCTGCAGGCAGCTGAGCAGAGAGACAGGCAGTGTACACTGAATTATATATTTACCACGCACGCTGGCAGATTTTGCTCGTTTCGCTCGTTATGTTTAATTCCAAAGCAACAAGAAAAGAAGAGATTTAAATCCATCGCTTTATTTTTAAGCAGCCGGTGGTTAAATTCAACTTGCAGAGGACAGAAACGTGCTTGAACCAAGAAACAGAGAAAGAATTTAGACGGTGTAATTGATTCATATTATTTAGATATTTCTTATGTCAACAAATCCAATGAAAAATCAATACTATGTTATATTTGTAGTACTTTCCAACGTCCCAATACTATATCGTGACACTATGCATTTATATCTTGATTAGTGCATCTTTTGTTTTTATGAGTTGATTATTTAAAGGTAAACTACAACCAAGAAAGAAAGGATATACGTGGTGACTGTCTAAAAGCCTCCTGCTGTGACTCTGAGACGAGTCACACCAACCACACTTATTTAACACATGACGCTGAGCTCCCTCCGGAACTCAGGTGTTGGAGCAGGTACAAGCTCAGAGTGAAATTCCAGGTATACCCTTAGGACCACAGGGGGATTTCACTCCTCTGCTCAGATCACACTTCTGTGTTGTGCTGTTGGTTTGTATGAAGGTCAGATGCAGCTAAGTAAGATCGCTGGTTTGAATGTGAAGTTGAAAGCTTTCAGGACTTTCTCCGTCACAAGGCCGAGGTCACGAAAACACAACATTCACTGCGTTGCTCTGTTTGTGCAGCGAACGCTTCTCGGTTTAATTTAGATCTGACAGCAACGCACACGTACCGGACACAGCAGCCGGAGGTGTGTCATGAGCCTGTTTTTCCACCTATGATTAGATAAGTAGAGCTGCAACTGATTATTACAGTCATTTGATTAGTCTATTGAGTATTTTCACAGATAATCAGTTGCTTGTTTGATCTATAACGTGTCAGAAATGAGTTAAAAACTGCTCATCAAGGGTAAAAGAAAGCTTCTGATTCAGTCCAGTTCAAAACATTTTCCCATTTATAATTGAATAAAGCAGAAAAGCCTCAGTCTCGAGAAGCTGCAACCAGAAAATGTTTATTTTAGTGATCACCAGTGTATTTTTTTTGCATTCAGATGGTGAACTAGATAATTAACACATTAACCAACATGTAAGTTGGAACTCTAACATCGAGGGCATTAATTCAATCCAACATGTACACTTCATGAATTCTCTTGAGATCCACTCTGATTCATGATCAGTTGTGGTTTTGGTGCATTTTGAGGATCAGCATCTTTCCCCTCTCTGCTTGAATGACTTTGTTAAACAGCCACGGGCCCTCGAGGCATTTTGTCGGCCCGCCTAAAACTGCAGTAACTGATTACTCCGCTCACATAAAAGCATCCTCTCCAAGCGATCCCATTTGTGGCTCTGAAGCTGCGTTCTGCGCTCTGATACCTCGGTTAGGTAATACGCCAGCGCTGAGAGTTATATTGGAGGTGACACCCCATCAGGCCTATAAATAGCTTTGCACTCTTCCCCCAGGAGCCCAGCTGTAGCTTTCTCCAAGGCATTTGATCTCTAGTTTGTAGGGGACTGACATCACCCACTGCTGCTTTGTCTCCCCGGCTCTCTGACTCCTGCACACACACAGAAAAACACACCCTCGGTGCCGTAGTAGCTTCATTATAGCAGGAATGGCATATGTGGAAAAAGCTTTCATCAGCTGTGACGCTTTGAAGGGACAGTCACTTCAAAGATATCTGGCCGCAGGGTTTCCCTCAACTACATTTAATGATGACTCACCTATTCACTTTTAATAATCCACTATGATGGGTACATGCACGGCAGCGGGCTCGGAGGGAAGTGAATTCTCTGACAGTGTATCGCCCTTAAATAAATAAAACGAAGCACTTAATTGGAGGGGGAGGGGGGGATACAGGAAGAAGCATAACACAAGCCTCATAACAAGTTGGAGGATGAAGTGAGTGCAAACGAGAAAAGATAGAGAAAAGCCCTGCAGGCTGTGTCTGACCCCAGTGAGTCACTGTCTACACACACTTCTCCAGGAGTGGGCATGACTCAGTAACAAGCACAAGCATCCATATTGACTATGTTTCTCCAATTTGAATCAGGTACAATTTTAATGCTCAACAGTGAAGGGTGTATTTAACTGGAGCTTTGTTCTTAGTTTGGGTTGCTTGTTTATGAAGGCCTGTGGCTAGTGGTTAATAAATCATTTTTCTTATGGAACAGTTAGAGGCCATTAACAAGATCAAAGTTTTGGTTACCGTATTTAGAACGAATTGTTTGTTACCTTCCAGAAAGCCTCCTCAGCTTATAAAGAGTTATATGTTGTAACTAACGGCTTTTTTAATCAATGTAAATGACTCATTTATTTATGTTTTATAGATGAGCGCACTCTGTGAACGGTGAGAAAGTCATGACCATTCATTAATGGATAAGTACGACATATAACTACCGATGTGATGACTTATTATTTATGTATTTTAGTATTTAAATGACCAAATAAGAGTCCTCACAACCTAACAACCCAAACATTCAAAAAGGTATTGATTTCACAGTTCATATTTTTCTCCCTGAGAACAAAGATAAACTGTGGATGGAGTTTTCTGCTGCTAAGGAATGATTTGAAACACTCAGGGTTATATATCCCATAAAATCTGATGCTGACATTCTGCTTCGACAGAGCTGATGCTCATATCTACAACAGATAAAAAAATCATCAGCAATGGGATAAACCACCGCTGTTGGAACATGATTAGGTGTTGTGATTGTATTGCTATGTGATATTTTCTGGAAGTGGCAGTGAAAAGATATTTACTGTGCAAATGTTTAAAATATATTCATTTTATCTCTGCAAAGGCTATTTTTTTTGAAAAGGTCACATTCTACCATCATCCTCTCTCTGTATATTTTTGCATCCCAGACACAAAATTCCAATAATACACAGTGAATCTACAGTAGCCATCGGCCTATAAATAATTCATTTGGGGACAGGGATCTGTTTGCCCCCCTCTGCCTCTCTGGTGCGCCTGTGCACCTGGTGCCATTTGGCCACGGCAGACGCGTCTCCAATTATCCAAGAGCTCATCCCTGGATTTCTATGCGTCCCTTTGCCTCCACATCCACATTGATTCGAGCCAAGTCGAATCAATGCGGGGGACGCGAGAAACTCACGCGTGAATAACATAGTTTGCGGGGCGATTGATGCGTATTTGCGCACAAGAAAATCAAACAACACAGGAGGATTTCCTCGAAATACACCAGTATGTAGGAAGCAGGGAGAGAAGTGTGTTTTGTGACTATAGGACAAGTTGTTCCTGTAGCTCTGGGTGTGATAATTTACTTCAGTGGGCACGCTGCTCCTCCACCGTGGTCCTCCTCAGTCCAGTTCAGTGTGTGGCCGCCTGCTCGGTGTTTGAAAGACGCGCCCCACACGCACTACCCCACTTGGCACCGCAGCTTTTACTTTCTTCTGCACCTGACGCGCGGGGATCGGCGGGTGTGAGTGGCGGCGGCCGCCCGCGTCCTCAGCACTCTGGACAGAGCTCGTCGGGGGAAGTTGGAGAGGACGCGGCGGTGCGCACGGATCTAAATTGGAATGAATAGTTGGAGCCGCTGGAGAGGTGCGCGATGCGTGACCATGGTTGTTTCCGAGTGCTCATTGTCCACAGCAGGCGCAGGTAACCCGAGGGTGGACTCTCTGGAGTGAGACATGGACTTTGCTGACATTATCTTCGCTTTGTTCATCGTCGTGGTCGCGGTCGTCTCGCTGTTGTCCAACTTGTTAGTGCTGCTATGTTTCGTGCACAGCACCGAGATACGCCGACAGGTGCCCGGTGTCTTCACCATGAACCTGTCCTTCTGCAACATCCTCATCACTGTGCTCAACATGCCCGCCACTCTGGTGGGCATCGTCCGGAACCAGCAGCCTTTCGGGGATTGCGTTTGCCACACGGTGAGCTTTCTGGAGACTTTCCTCACCGCCAACACCATGCTGAGCATGGCAGCCCTCAGCATCGACCGCTGGATAGCGGTGGTCTTCCCGCTCAGTTACTCCACTAAGATGCGCTACAAGGACGCGCTGATCATGGTGTGCTACTCCTGGCTCCACTCCTTCACCTTCTCCCTCACGGCGCTCCTCTTCTCCTGGGTCGACTACAGTGATGTTTACGCGTCGTGCACCCTGCAGCCGAGGGACCGAGGCAGCGACAGGATTAAGTTTACAATCTTCACAGTAGTTTTCCACGCCACCAGCTTCATGCTGTCCCTGCTCATCCTCTGCTTCACCTACCTGAAGGTGCTGAAAGTCGCCAGGTTCCACTGCAAGAGAATTGACATAATCACCATGCAGACTCTTTTCCTGCTGGTCGACATTCACCCCAGGTATAGTTGCATCTCTCATTTACAAGTTTCCTCATATAACCCTTCTGATATATACATAGTTTTGACAGTTTGGCAAATAGACTAAACATTCATTCCTGTTTCCAGCGTAAAGCAGAGATGTTTAACAGAGCAGAAGAGGAGAAAGCAAAGAGCCACCAAGAAGATCAGCATCTTCATCGGCTCATTCATCATCTGCTTTGCTCCTTATGTTATTACAAGGTAAGTCCGACTGATAGCAACCATGCATCATTTCATTTGTATGCAAAACTTCTGCATTAGTCTTCAAAAACAAACGACCTTGCTTGTAATGAGCAAGTAACATTGTGAGTAATTGCAGAGACTTAAAAAACATGCAGATCTGTCACACACACTATCAGATTAAAGACAATACACCACCTGAAGTGCACAGTCACATCACAGTGTGTGCTCACCTGACACCACACTGCTTATTTGGACCCTAATGCTTTCAATTATTATCATTTATCTGAGCCTGGACGCAGCTTATTGGTCAGCTGCACTGTGGTGAAGTAAACAGCCGCCACGCTGCTTCCATTGGAAAACACTTAAAACGGCAGAGACAATGAAAAAGTGGCTCCCGGAGAAAATAGGACACGCTTCAGGGCTCACGAAGCTGTCGTCAGCCAGATGTGGCTTCTGCTGATCCACAGTGTGTGGAGTGTGCACAGACATATGACAGGGAACATGGAGCACACACTCACTGGGAAAAAGTGTCCGGATAATTGGATCAACCTCTTGAACCAGGCCTACCTACACGTCCAAGTGACAGCTGAAGCAAAAAAAAAAACATCTGATCAGACTAAGAATTCCTGAACATGTGCAGAAATAGATTCAAAATGCCCACATAAAACAAATCTATCAAATAAATATGACAAAAATACTGTCTTGTGTATGTTCTATGGAAGAATGCCTATATACAAATCTAATAAAGAAATAGAAAAATACATATTGTCACAGACATATAACTTTTTATGCCTTATGTATAGAAAATTTAAATAGCCATCTCCTCACCTTATTTTTTTGTCGTGATTTTAATGGAAATCAATTAAATCAGTTATTAAAGCCAAAATATTGCTTTATTTAGATTTTTCAGGCATTTCAATTCCTCCATTCATGCATAACATTTTAAAACTGTGAAACTAAATATGTTAAGGGAGCATTTTTTTTACGATATCAATTTAATTACACATTAGAAAATATGGTGGTCATTATAGTTACTCATGCCTTGTGACAGCTTTTACTGTTTCAAGGAAGGAAAGGAAGGAAAAAGAAAGGAAAAAACCAAAATACAGATCATCTCCTGATCGGACTACGTTTTTATCAGCCAAAAATAAAAAGAGACAGACCCTCCCCCTTTTGGATCCTCTCTTGTAATTGTCGTACTGTCCCTAACGTGTCAGAGGCTCTGGGTTTGGTGTGGTACTTTGTTTAGTCATGTTTCTGCTGCCGCCCCTTCAGGTTGGCTGAGCTTCTACCTTTTGTGGACGTCAACCGCCACTGGGGAATCATCAGTAAGTGCCTCACATACAGCAAGGCTGCATCTGACCCCTTCGCCTACTCCCTCCTACGTCAGCAGTACAAGAAAGTCCTGGTTACAGTCGTCAACAGGCTGCTCCGTCGCGATCTTTACCCTTCATCTGGCCACAACAGCTCTTTAGACACAGAGAACGACTACTGTCTCCAGAGGATCAGCTAATGGCGACCGTGCGGACGTGACAGATGCACACCCACAGCGGGCCAAAAACAGAAAGGCTGCCTCTTGGTAGAGGAGGATGGGCGGAGGCGAAGAATTAGGAGAGAGACGGAGTGGACAGGATATTAGAAGGAAGTGAAACGAGACTAGATGGAGGGGACAGATTGTGGGTTCGGGGGGAGGCGGGGGGAGGAGAGAGCAAAAATAAGGGAGATAGTGGGTGGGGAAGATTGAACAGACAGTAATGAGGGGGAGGATGAACAGGCAAAGAAACGGAGGGGAAGGCGAGATGAGTGAGGGGAAGACAGATAGGGATGATGTGGCCTCAGACAGTACTGGTAAACAAGGGATCTTTAATTCATCAACACACATGAAACCTCCCCCCCACACAGATTCACACACAGACAAATCAATTCCATGAAACTCGGGTTCAAGATGAAGCTGAAGGACCACGCTGCTGGAGACGTCTTGACTCGGAGAGAGAAGTGGCCTTTTGCGCTGGAGCAACCACTTTGTAGTCCACGTGTCGGGACCTTTCCTCTTTCCTCTGCCTCGAGACACAGGGACAGTAGCAGATGCTCAACAGGCAACAGAGAGAAGATGTAGAGGAGAAGAAAGACTACGTGGTCCCTGCCTCTGGATAAAGTACCTTCACTGGACGGATGGACTCTTTAGCATGGAGGCTCAGCTGCTGCACATTGCTGCCATTTTCTGTATTGGCCGTGTTAGACTACTTTGCAGTGTCATGTCAGTCACTGAATATTGAAGCACTTTGTCTAAATCTCTCAGAGCTACTATAGATACAAGAGCCAAAGGCAAATAACATGTACACCACGATGTTAAAGGACGGAGCTGGGGATGTTCTTTGTTTTTGTTATTGTCAACAAGGGTCATGAAAAGATGAAAACTGACTTTGCCTCACAGTGCTGTCAAACCTCTCCAGCCTGCCTGTAGCTCCAAGGCTTTAGATATATCTTCTCATCCTGAGGCAGCTGGACTCTGTACATGAGTAGTAAATAGTATATTTTTACGAGTTATTTATTGCAGCAGGAGGAAGTCCTCAAACGTTTTAAAAGTACAAATTAATAGACAAAAATATACTCAAGTAGAATACCAAATTAATGTTTTCTACTTGAATAAAGTTAGTACTTGCTTTTGAATGCACTTAAAGTATTAAAGTAATAGTACCTGCAAAGTGTAGCTTGGTCAAATGTACACAACAGCAAATATAGTGAGTCAAATTTCCCCAAAGTTGAACTCCACGTGAAACCAGGCTACTATTTGTTTTGCGAATGTTTTATTCGCTGGCACCGATCGGAAGTGAACTGGAAAACCGTACGTTCCCCGGTGAAATGATCACGTGTGTGTGAGTCTCAGCAGGGGCCTCTTCCCAATCCAGTGTAGGGGCCTGATGTTGCCTGCCCACTCGGATCAATGGACCAATGCCCCTCCTGTTATTACTTTTAAGATTATATTAAAAAAAACAATGTGAACATGTGACAATGCATTTTTAAAATGTTGTATAGAAAGTACATTTGCTCATATATATGTAGTGGAGTAAAAGTGAAAAGGATAATTCTACTTAAGTTCAGTACAGATACATGAAAAATGTACCTAAGTAACCAGGCAAATGTACTTTGTTACATCCCACCACTTCATGCTAATAAGGAAATATGTTGCTCAGTGCAACAGGAAGCTCACTTATGTGTTTTAAATCATTGAATCAATCTCAACCAAAGTAAGACGTAAGAACGTGTTTAATTTAAATTAGATTCAACTGCCATGTGAATTTAACAAGTGAAGTCCAGGACGGAGGGATGATGGGAATTTGAAGGTTCAGGTCACAAGAAATATATAATATAAAATATCAAGACACCCAGTATAATGTGAAGTAACAACTTTATTTTAAATAATAGGATGCAGTGAGATGAGCTCATGTCTGGTTTGAGTCTTCTTCTGTGTTTTTTGCTGACAGTAATAAAAACGCAGCTTCACCAGACGTCCTTTAAAGTGAGTGCATGTTAAAGTGTAACTGAATGTACTAGAGATAGTCCACTTTTATCGGAAAATGCATTTGTACAACTGTGCTTTGTTCTGCCAGTTGACCGGAGAAAACGTTTCTAATGGATATTTACAGTACATGATGTTATTCTAGATTTTGCACTGTACAGGAACAATGTTTTGCCTATAGATGAAGGGGGGGGGGGGAGTGATGTAGCATAGGAATGCTTTCAAAGTGCTTTAAAACACACACTGTTCTGTGTTTGTGCCAGATTTGCATATGTGACATTTTTAGCTGCCCTAATCCAGAATAGCTGCTTTATTCTCGTTATTATTATTATTCTCATTAATACTAAGAAACAGATCTGTTTCTTTGGATGTATTTTATGCACATGTATTTTCCTCCCGTGAGCCACTTGCTGTTCTTTGACAGTGTGATTAGCTGTTAGTAGAATATGTGCAATAAAATCTGTCAATTATAAAGATATTTAAAATATGAATGTTTTCACAGTATTGTCAAATGTCCTCAGACTTAATTTGTACTTTAAATGATTAAATGAGGATTATGGAAACATTGTGGACAATATTCAATATCCAAAATCAATAGATACGTGTATTTGTGAGGAAACATTATCACTATTGGCAATAAAACAACTTTTTGGGTTTCTCTTTCACCAGCAGCTACTCACATTGTTCTGCCTCACCGTGGCCCTAATTATATTGTGGATGATATGTGGCATAAAGAACGACTGCGGTGTCACAGCACAATCTCTGCTACAGCACCGTTATTGCCAAGTCTAATTAAATCCAGGGATTAAAGATCATTTTGGAAGATTAGTGATTCTAATTTATTCTGACTCAGTGATGACTCTGGCCTAATTGGACGCATGGAAACAGACCAACATTGATTATTTGCAGCATCAAGTGAAGGAATTTACATCTGAAATCGAGCAGTTTGCTCTAAAAGCAGCTACAACTGCTCAAACGGAGAACGTATGCATTGCAAATAAGTTATTTCACAGCTACTTAAGTTTGAAGTGACGACAACAAATCATCAAAGTGTCAATTGATGAAGTTGTTTTTGCAATTTGCACGTTTTTTCTGTTTGCATGTCTTTACTTAATTTGCAGTGCTACCGTAGTGTTAGCCTTGAAAGATCCTAACCCTAACCCTCTTCTCCTCATCTTTGGTGCTGCAGGATGTAAATGGCAGCAAATATCACAGCTTTTAGGCCAATGTGACAAAGAAGGAAAGAATTTCTTATAATTAGCAGAATGACTTAAACAAGAGCACTTTGTGATGTAGGTAGCTGAGGTCGGTGGCCAATTCTTTGGTGCCATAGTGTGATAAAACTTTATGAACCTCACTTGATATAGTTTTGCTCCATTGATAATAAAAATAATAGTAAATTGCTAATAATTTAGTTTTAGTTTAGTTCTGTTGAATAGGAGTCTTTAACCTTCCTATTGGATATTCAGTGTCATGTGACTGAAGAAGGCTCATTAATCAATTAATCCAAATGTGAGGCTACTGCGTCAATAACGTGGCTCTAACACTTTAATTCTCTTTATCTTTGAATCCAGTGTAAACTTTACTGTAACAAAGAGTGAAGAACTTCAGTTTGACTTATCCCCAATTCACCTCTCAGTCATTTCCTCTGTAACCTGATAGCTGACCGTAATGTTTGTAGTAAAGTGGCTCAGAGGGAGTTTCTGCACACACACACACAGACACACACACACCGTCTCTGTGTGTGAGGTGCCACATCGGAGCATGACAATGTGTCGGAAAATGAGCATCATGCTGCGGATCCTGCTGCAGTTGTTCGCCCTCGCTTCGTGTGCTCCTCCGCGTTGTGACCCGAGAGTCCGAGGTAAAGTCATTTTTCTCTTTTTGCTATGATCCAAACTTTATTCTCATGTGTGCATCTGGACCTGCTGCACAGAGTGGCCTGTTTCCCACATGGAGCCGCTGGACTGGATTTGATGCAGAAAAACTTGCTCTAAAAAGCTTTTGTGTAACTTTCAGAAACATAAAGTTGACAATTATCATAGATTTCATGAGATGTGTTGGTCTGTGGCTTGTCAATTATTGATATACTTGATAAAAGCTTGCTCTTGTAGTGTGTCTGCTAAAATCTTTGTGATCTCTTGCAGACAGATTTCAGAAAAGCTGCAGAAGCCAAAACCACAGCTTGATCACTGCACTGTTTTATTTTACAGGCCAGATTAAGGCTTTTATAGAAACCACTGCCATCTAGTGTCTGCCACTGTGTCAGCTAATGCTCACTGATGTGTTTTGCAGGACTGTGCAAGCCAACAGTGCAAGACAAACGTAAGTATCCCTTGTGCATGGGTGTCACACTCTCACACTGTTTGTCTTCCAGCTTCCAAACTCCCAAATATTATGTTCTTTGACTTTTGAGCCTGAAATCAGTCGATATGTGATTAGAGCGTGATCAGGGCCCCTGAAGTGGTCCCACCCTCCCCTGTCAGGTCGAACGATTGCTCAGTTTCATCCCTGTGGACTTTGGTTTGAGTCAGTGTTTTTAAACAACACGAAAGTTGAGATCATAAGTCCTACACAGGGCGTAGTCTTAATAGAATCTGGCCCGAAAGCCATAAAACCATCATGTGTATTTTTAGATGATCAATGGCTCTATGAAATATTCAGATTCTAATTTCCAGAGATAATAGAGATATTTGGGAGCAGATGATTGAAGACAAAGTGAGACTCATGACCACATGTGTGTGATAGATGGAGATAAAGAGAAATAACATTGATGAAGACTTCAGCTGAGCAATCTAACATTTAATTAGAAAATATTCCTAATCCATCTGATTTGTATGACTTTGTTCACCTCAGCCAAATGCACGGATGTCTCCCTGTCCTACTGCGACGACATGGCCTACACTCAGACCATGTTCCCCAACATCCTCGGCCACAGGAGCCGCGAAGAAGCCGAGGCCGGCGCCGAGTACCTCCTCATGAGCGTGGTGGAGTCCCTGCTCGGTGGAGAGTGCAACCCCGACATCCGCATGCTGGGCTGCTCGGTGTTGGCCCCCCGCTGCGAGAACGCGAAGGTGTTGAAGCCGTGCCGCCACACCTGCGAGGCCGTGCAGAAGAAATGCAGCCATGCTTTCCAGGGGATAGAGATGGCCTGGCCCTACTTCTTGGACTGTGATCGCTTCTTTGTCAGTGAAGAAGAAGGATGCTATGACCCACTGGCAGGGCTCAAAGGTGAGGACGAGGACACTATCTATCTATCTATCTATCTATCTATCTATCTTTCTATCTATCTATCAATCACTACCTTGTTGGTTATAAGTGTAATCTCGTTAATAGTAAAACTTTTGGTTTTGAGCTGACACCTCTTTTTTTCAGCTGAAAGAGAAAACACAATTGTTGTCTTTTGAGTTTCAGCTTCTTTTAAAACACATTGTCTGCAGACATCTGTTTGTTCACATACTAATGTGGTCTACCTCAACATAAAAATCCAACTGGAGCGCCTCAGTTCCCCACATAAACCCTCACTCACCCCAGGTCCCGTGGCTGTTTTTAAGTGTTTTTACTAGAAAGCCAAGTGCTGTAAACAGCGTCTTTAAAGACAAACAAAGGAAGAACTATGTCTGGTAGTATTTTCTAAAAGCTGTTGAAAAATGTAAGTTTCATGAGAAAGAAGAGATCATGTGTGAGCCATATGAGAACATGAACAACAGGAACATCTGCACAGACAGGAGGAATTGATTTTCACTTTGAGTCCTGTCATTTTGTGCATTGAAAGGAAAATGTGTACATGATCATCAAAGTCTTAAAGTCAACCAATGAAATGCACCACGTTGTCTTGACCTGTAGCACTGTAATGAAAGGTCTAATTTTTTAT